AAACCATTTCCGAAGGTCAAAATTCTCGTCAGAATGCTTCGGACTCTTTTACTCCAACGAGCTGTTCACATCGGCCTGACAAAAGAAGTAGTTCCAGCGAACGTACTTCCTTTAAGAAACATAAAGGGTCTCAACAAAGGGAAGCGAAATGGCGGCAAACAAGAAGCAAAGTATTTCAACAAAGCTTGAAGAAGGCGAAAAACGAGCCTTTCCAGTTAGTTTCGGCAAATCTTGGAAAACATGAATTTATGGTATATTCCGTCAATTCTAGGCACACTTACCTTGTTTCAGTGACAACTACCCCGCATTGTGAATGTCCCTTTTATATTGTTAAACAGAACAACACTCAGAAAATATGCAAACATATACTATGGGTGTATTTGTTTGTGTTGGAGATCCCCGAGGAGAGTAAACTAATTAACCAAGTAGCGCTACTAGAATCTGAAATACTGGAGCTAACATCTAACGCTCCAGCTGTAATCCCTCCCCGACTATTCAGACCATCTTCAACAACAAGTGGGTCTTTCGCTCATAACACACATTCATCGGCAAGTAACATGCCATCTACTTCAACAGCAAACATCTCTAGTGGTAAAGTACCGAAGATGACGAATGACGAGATCAATGGTTTGTTTGAAAATTCGCCTCTTAACACCGCTCCTCAAGTTTGGACAGCAATGAAGAAAATTGGCAAGGGAAAACAACCATCTTGTGCGGGGTGCAGAAGCAGCAAAATACTTCCGGGAAGAATTTGCATCCACGTGAGCGGTTTGTATGTACCACAAAACTGCAATTTCTGCGTGAGCAGGAACTTCTATTTTTGCGCAAATTTAAACTGTTTTTCAAAAAAGCCGCTGGCGTCAAACTTAATATGCCCTCCATTTCAAGTGCTCGTTGGTGAGGGGACTGCATTAAGCCTGCAAGAGTATGAAATGTTGGTGGAGAGGGGTTTGCCCATGGCGTAGCTCTATGTCCAAAGGAACAAACTAGAAACTCTGTTTGTATACACTTGATTAAAAACTATATATTTTTACAAACCGTAAAAATTATTAAGATGTTATTTGTTAGATATTGCTTTTTTGGTGTTTGGTTCATTGTTATGGTTTTGCTAAAAGTTATAAACAATAATAAAAAAAAAAAATAATTAACTGTTTATTTACTCGTACTCGCTTCACTTGCTAAGTACTAAAGTACTACTAGTTTCTACTAGCGTGAAATGTTAAAACTTGAGAAAAAAGTAAATTTACCAAAATTTATTAAAATGTGGAAGTTTTTTTCCAAAAACTGACATAACTCTCTTCACAAAGTACTATAAAAAGTAAAAAAGTAAAGTAAAAAAAAGTAAAAAAAAAGTAAAGAAAAAAAAAGAAAAAAAAAAGTAAAGTACTATTAGTTTGTACTAGCGTAAAATGTTAAAACTGACACGTGAGAAAAAAGGAAGTGGAAGTGTTTTTCAAAAAACTGTCATAACTCTCTTCATTGCCACAATCATGAATGCGGAGAGTTATAAAAAATGATAACTCTCTAACATCTTCATAATGTTAACGAGAGAGAGTTACGTCAAACATAACTCTCTCATGTTAGTTCAAAGAAACGTCGAGAGAGTTAAAAAATTGGGTGTGGTCGTTGGGAAAAGTGGGCGTGGTTTGGGCGTGGTTCGAACATAACTCTCCGAAATCATAACTCTCCGAGATAACTCTCCATTTCATAACTCTCCGTTTAGCCGGTCCCTGTTTTGGTAGACTTGTTATGTTCAAAGAATCTATTTTGTAGCCTCGGATAGCCGGAACTAACCGGTCTTGTTGATTGTCAATATAATTTAAATTTGAATTGTGCTCATAGCGTATGGTTGACTTTCTAGTTTCGCACATTGTGCTTAATTCAATATTGTTAGTGGTACCACCTACTGTATGTTAATTGATTTTATAATTTAATAAAAATAGTCAATATCGTCAATATCGCTAGGTTTGAGTTCATTTAGTCAATTCTTGAGGGATTCGATCAAGTTCTTTGCTAACATTGCCGTTCCTTGGCTATTCAAAAATGTAATCCAGATGCATTTAATTTAGAAGCATCTATGTTAGTATGCCGAATAAACTGCCTCTTGAATTTACCACAGAGCTTAGCTAGTAACGAATTAGTTTTATCTATCTTAATGTTGATAACCGGGTCCTATCTCTTAATTATTTCGGAAATAGCTATTTTTGACAAACTTTGGGACACGATACCTTGACATAAGGATTTCATTTCGGCTACAATTTCGTCGGGTTCTTTACGTTGAAAGTCGTTAGTCATGTAGAATCACCAGTTTGGGTTGTTTCTTCATTGTGGGTTGTATCTAGTGGTTCATGTCGTTAATTGTTGCCCCAGGAAATGTTTTGATGTTGACTTTTTCGCCTATTGACGACTCAGTTTAGGTGGTTTAATCATCTTTATCATGGAATCCCCTAAGATTGTTATGGGACCTTCGGATGTCTTGGACTTGGAATAGCTATTCTGGGGTGGAGAATCGGTAATAAGAGTTTTGTCAAAAGTTGATTCTTTATTGCCAGGATTCTTGTGGGTCGTGATCGATCTGACATAAGGCGGGCGTTGTCCTTCTGTTGGTTCTACATCGCTGTCACTAAGGACTTCATATCTGTTAACATCCGAGATACCGGCGGCCGTTTTGTGGGCATCCTTGCTAACGTTTGTTTTCTTATTTCGAACAATATGCCAGGTGTCAACTTGATTTTTGGTTCCACTAGGTTTGGATTGATCGAGTTGAACCAGCTTAATTGCCGTAATTAGGCTGTTTTTTCGTTCTCCGTGTCTTTAACTTTAGTTTGCAAGTCTGCCATAGCGTACGATATAGTCGCATTCCTTCGGCGTAATTCTAAGTTTTCATTTTTAAGTTCGTCTATTTCCCGTTTGAGGTTGTTGATCAGATCAATTCGTTCTGGTTGACTTGTATTGGCCTTCAGATTGTTTACTTCTTGCGAAATCCCCTCGACCTTGTCGTCTATTCTTTGCATGAATTTACTCATGAGATCGTTTATCAATAGATATTGTTCTAAATTACTGCATGTTGAGTCACACGTGGGATAGTTTGTGGACGGGCCATTAGTTTTTATTGAATCTTTATGTAAATCACTGCTATATTGCAATTCGTCTTGACTTTGGCTAATCTCTTCTACTTCGTTTTCCAAGATGGAGTCACAAATTCGACGTCGTCGAGATCAGACGTCTGTAAAAACGCTCCGTGATTTATAACACTAAGTGCTCATAATTTTCGGTATAATGTTTTAATTTCTTTAACTTGTTAGTATTGTTGGCTGTTAAAAGTAATATAACTGGCCATACACACAGTAGTGCCTAATACTGTAAATGTCTAAAACCAGAGGAGCGGCAGCGACTTTAAAGATGGAAGTTCAAGCATTGCTTAAATCTGAAGAGTTCCAGGCTATACTTCAGGCCAGGGGGGTCTGGGGGCATGCCCCCCCCCGGAAAATTTTGAAATCTAGAGGCTCTGAAATGCGATTTCAAGCGTTTTGGCGGTGAGATTTTACAGAATTCCAAAGATTATAAAGTACATCAAGCACATGCTTTTTTTTATGATCTCACAAACGTGCCTTCTCCCAGTCCTCGGAATTAGATTTACTAACGGAGGGTCATATTACAAAACACATCATGTAGTTTCAACTTTCAATAGCCTTTGAGTTTGGCTCATGAAATCCTTCGCAAATTGAAGTGATATGATACCAATGACCGATCCAATATAACTCGCTGTTTGTGAATCAAAAGTCTCGAGCAAAATAAAGAGTAATATTTCAATTATAGTTTGTAAAATGCATTTTTTATTCAATGAATTACAATATGCTATAAATATCACTTGTATATTATAACGATATTCATCGCAAATCTTTCATGCAATGCAAATCATCCAAATTATATTGTTTTAACACTCCAATGGCAATGCTCTATTCTGGCCCTTTTTATAATGGGCAATGCATTTAGTAAATTATAAATACAGCAGGAAAGCTATAAGGCCCGAATGCGCATTATAAGTTGCAAGTCGATTGCGTGTAAAAATGTATTAAAG